GGGAGGTAACGGGGAGTACGGAAGAAAGTTTTCTTTAGTTTTAGCTTCAGACCCTGAGTTTTGTAGTACTTGTATCTGTGCCGTCCGAAAGGCCCGTCGCTTCTTTCCCCCTTCTCCGTTTTTTCGCCAGCCGCCTCCTGCCTTGGATCCGCCTACTACCAGCACTAATTGCTTTTCATATACACTCTCTTTTATTTATAGAGATTTGGAAGCAAATATAGTAAATCTTTTAACTAACTTTTTCTTCCAGATGCTCGTTGTGGGCGGAATTGATCGTGTTTACGAAATTGGACGTGTGTTCCGTAATGAGAGTATCGATCAAACGCACAATCCCGAATTCACGTCCTGCGAATTCTATATGGCCTACGCGGATTATGAAGACTTGATGAAAATCACTGAAGACCTGCTATCCAGTAAATCTCCTTATTTATGCACCCTTTTTTGTCGACAATGTGTTATAATCCAGCAGAAACACTCTGAAACTTAAGCGGACTGAAGCCCGAGGATTCCGCCAGTGTTTACAGCTCAGGGATGAAACACAGGCAGGCTACCAAGTCGCTGCACATAAAGGCTTGCTTATTTGGGAGATCTAAATGGCACTACTTCCAGTGTTTTCATTAATTATCAAAATTCGATTGTGTTCCTCTCCACGGTGGTGAGCCAGCAACGCCAAACAAACTGCATATGTTAACACATAGAGGCTTGCAGACCCCCGTTCTCTTCTAGTCTCCTAGCCAGGGATATTCATTGTTTGTATTTCTGAAATTTTTACAAATATCTAAGCTGAGTTTGTCATTCTCTTGTAAGCTTATTTTTATTTTTTGTAGAATTGGTGCGCTCAATACATGGAACTTTTAAAATCAAGTACCATCCAAATGGTGTTGGAGAGGAGCCAGTTTATGAAGTAAGTTTCTTGTACTAAACTGTCCCCTGTAATTAATTTTATGGTTGATCGATAATGGAAACCTATGTTTTAGGTATTTAGAACTTATCAACAGTTGGGAGGTTTTTTAAACATATTTTTCGTTGTCACATGATCTATCTTCCCAAAAAAAAAATTCAATATTTCACGACCGTTACTTTTTATTTAACATTTTTTTACGCACTTTGTATGATGAATGTTTGTACTATTTTTGCGTCTCAGTAAAAAAGAAATTATGTTTTTGCATCTATAATACAACAATTTTTGTCTTTTGTAAGTTAAATTTACAAATTTGCATTTATAAGTCATATTTTTCCAAATCGGTCTGCATTTTTTGCATAATTAGCGGTCCAGAGAAGAGTCTGTCCCACCCGACATAGGCTTCTGTTCAGGCAAACTAATAACCCCGAAAGAGTTGTTGGCATTTACGAGAAGCGGTAGCATATGTCAACAGCTAGCAAAGCTACCGATAGCTCCTTCTGATGGTTCTCCATAGACAAGCTGATGGCGGTTCTGAATGATTCTTAGAATGTGCCAGTACCAATTTTATCACCAAAATAAATTCACGATTTTTACCAATGTGTTCCTCTTTTTGGCAAAATCAAGTGGTAGGATTATTCTCGAGGGTAGTATTGCTTGCCATGGTACTGGATAATTAGTGTGCCAGTGAAAAGCCGAACAAAATATAGGGAAAGAAGAAATTGGTTGAAATGTATAACGCTGAGGAGCAAATCGAACCGTAAATGAAGGACCGTAGGCCAGTAAGAGCCTAAGAATATAGCTGGGTCGAAACCTTGAATTAGAAAAATAGAAAAATAGATGTCGCGGTTTTTGTAATGAAAGGAGGAGAGAGATAGTAGGGCTAAAAATGTAGGTAAGACAAAATGTCATGTAAGAAAGTCAGGTATGGAAAAGATGTGGAAATGGTAAACGCAGAAATAGTGACAGGTCTGCCTATGTCTCATCCCTTGGCTGTAAACACAGACAGTGAGTGATGCGGTTAGGGGTGGGATTCATCAGTGCTGTGGATTCATCAGTACTGAATCTTACGACTTATGAGACATATCAGAAGGCAGCAAATCGTCTGTCTGTGCTGAAAACTTATACAATAATATTATAGATTGATTTTACGCCACCATTTCGTCGAGTGGACATTTACGAAGGGCTGCAGGAGAAGTTGGGCGTCCAGTTTCCACCACCACATACACTCGAAACCGATGGTTAGTTGAGTTTTTTATGCGTTTTGTGCTGTGTAACAGCAGTACAAAACGCATATTGTTACGGGGTTGTCTGT